AAAACATATGGTATCTGTCTTTCTCACCAACATGACTTATTTCACTTAGCATAACACTCTCAGTTCCATCCACGTTGCTACTAAAGAGCCATATTTCATTCTTTTTTTTCATTGGCATGTAGTATTTCATTGATATTATACTCATCTTCTTTATCCATTCATCTGTTGATGGACATTTGGGCCCTTTTCATAATTTGGCTATTGTTGATAGCACCGCTATAAACATTGGGGTACATGTGCCCCTATGCATCAGTACTCCTGTATCCTTTGGATAAATTTCTAGTAGTGCTATTACTGGGTCGTAGGGTAGTTGTATTTTTAATTTTTTGAGGAGCCTCCACACTGTTTTCCAGAGCAGCTGCACCAGTTTGCATTCAACAGGCCTCAGGGGTTCCCGTTTCTCCACATCCTCTCCACCATCTATAGTCTCATTTTAGCCACTCTGACTGGCGCTAGCACCCCTGTTTTTAAATATTTTTGGGGGGGTTTCTATTGTTGTCGTTTTTTTTTCTCCTTGATAAGAGTAAATGCATATATCTGTAGACTAAAAGTAACCTTACCATCTATTGTGTGAAATCACAGCCCTACTCTCTTCCCAGTATAATTTTCATTATTTTGGAGATGTCTGTCTGTTGTCTCTGGAAGCTTCCTGGATCCTTTTTTCTTTTTTGCCCTAAACTTTCACAAAAATGTGTCTGACCCTTCTTTCACCGTTCACAGTGCTGAATATTCTGCAGACACTTCCAATCTGAAGATTTCTGTGTTCTGGAGCCGTGAGAAAATCTATTATTTTATTGATATTTTTCTCTTTTTTCCCCCCCATAACCTTTTAATCTTTGATTGACTATGTCTTTTACTCTTTGTCTCTTTGTAAATTTTTATGAGGAGGGATTTTACTTTTGGGGAAGTGCTTTCAAATTAAAGTGGGTGATGGGCATTGAGGAGGGCACCTGTTGGGATGAGCACTGTGTGCGTATGGAAACCAATTTGACAATAAATTATAGTTAATATAAAAAACAAAACAAGACAAATCATTCATGTAGTAAATTGTTATTTTAAGACTTTATTTTAAAATAAGTATATAAGGGGGTGCCTGGGTGGCTCAGTCGGTTGAGCACCTGACTTCGGCTCAGGTCATGATCTCACAGCTCGTGGGCCTAAGCTCCGTGTCGGGCTTTGTGCTGACAGCTCAGAGCTGGAGCCTGCTTCGGATTCTATGTCTCCCTCTCTCTCTGCCCCTCCCCCACTCACATCCTGTCTGTCTGTCTCTCAAAAAGAAACATTAAAAAATAACAATAATTAAAAAAACAAGTAAATAAAAATAAATAATAAAATAAAAAATAAAATAAAAATAAATTTAAAAAAATGAAAACTATTTGATGTTCCTTTTTACAGTATTCTGTTTTTGTCTTATGGGCGCAATTTCTTCTTGAAGACTGGATTTTTTTTAGAGTTCTCCTGTGACTTCTGAAATGCTCATGTTTCCTGTGGACTCTTATCTCTGTGTGTATTCTCTTTCAAGGTGCTGATCTGTCTGATGATTCTGGCTATACTTTCATATTTAAGGATGAAGGACCGGGTTGTGGCGAACTGTCGGAGACAGTGACTGTGCTCTTGACCAGGCCATTTTACTCCTCCATCCGTCTCCCCAGGAATGAGAAGTGTGCCTGGCAGCTCTGTGTCAGTGAGTAGGGCTCCTTGGCTGGAAGATTTTGCATTTAGATGTAGTAATGGCAAGTTAGCCGTTGGACTGGGCTCCCCCAACCCAAATGTTAAGTTGAGGACAGCTTTGTTTTGAGGCACCCACATCCATACTCTAGTCTTGGTCCCATCCAGAAGACCTGTGATTTCCTCCTGTACACACACGTGTGCACGTGCACACACACACTCACATGCACGATGGGTGTACAGAAACTTCAGTGCCCCTATCAGTCATCTCTTTGCTTTCTATAATGCAAGTGCAATGAATGCCTGGCTCTAAGTAAAAATGCGACAGTTGTTTTAAAGGACTGTATCATAGCAGTGTATAGCTTTACATATTTACTCCTGAGGATTCACCCTCATTAAGATATGGTCTCGGTACCCAAGCAGCTAATAGTCTACCTTCTAATGGAAGATAACACATGTGTAAACAAATCGCTGTAATAAAGAGAGGTAAGTGTGATAGAAAGTGTTTCTACAAAATGCTGGCTGTGCTGAGGAAGAGACATTGAGTGTGAACCAGGGGTGGGGGCAGGGAGAGTGGAAAAGCTGCAGAGAGCATGAGACCCTGGAGCTGGATGCTGAGATCTGAATCCTGGGTCTCCTTGGGCAAGGACTTTGCCTGCTTCCTCCCCTGTAAAATGGGCATATGACCCTAGCTCTGACCTCACAGGGTTTTTGTGGGCATTAGATGAATTACTTACATATGATAGTTGAACTCAGTGCATATTAGGTCCTGTTGTCATTGCTATTATTTCCTGATGTGGCCTTGATGGGTTCAGTAGCCACTGAAAGGGCAGATGGTTATTGCTGGGAAGGTCATCCCAGTGAGTAAGGGCACACTTGGGTGTCCCTGTGGCTGGGGTACGGGGCTCTGGGGCGTGATTGCATCACGGGAGGCCCCGGTGCAGGCCGAGGTGCGGCTACATTCTCCTGCCATCAGTTCTGCTGGTCTTGGTGTGCATAGAGTGTCAGGGGGTCTCTAACCTACACACACTCTAAAACTTGTAGGGACCCCATAGATGGCACGGACAAGATAGGAACAATAACATACACACGTGTCTCCCTTCAGAAAACAAGGTGGGAGGGGATGGGATGGAAACAGTTGAATGACAATTGTCCCGGCCTGGGACCAGGCTGGGGTCCAGAATGGACTAATGGGCCATTGCAAGAGGGGTTCAGCTTGTAGGTAATTTTGAATTACAGGATTTGGTCCGATGTGTGGAAGGTTTAGAAAGGTAGATTTTCGAAAGAATGAGGGTAAGCTTACTAACCACACAGAGCCACCGTAGAGACACGGGGGGTGCCCTGCGAGGCCGCAGGGCCCATCAGTGGGGCACCTGTGCACTTGCTGGCGGGCCCGTATCATCTAGGGCTTGGACCCACTGCACACGTCTGGGCAAGAATCCATTCGGTCCCTCTGGTTACAGAGTGTGGTCTTCCCGGCTTCCCTCCCCAGCAACGGCCGTGCACTTACGCACTGCTGTGGAAATGTCAATACTGGGGAGGAGAGGCTGGCTCCCAGCAAGAGCATCACACTAAGGCTCTAAGACCATTCTGCTCTCTAAGCCCACTCTGGCTTTAAAAAGTACCCGGGCTGCTCTCCGTGAGTACACATGGTCTACGCTCTTTTCAAAGATAAAACTGTGCTGCTCATTCTTCTGCTTCCCGAGAACACCTGCAATCCCTCCCGAGGGCATCGTGAGGGGCCTCGCAAGTACCTGCCCCCCAAAAGCCTGGGTAGGACAGGAAAGATGGGGCATGTGTTTTTGGACTCATCTCCTGCTCTCTGTATCCTGGTTTCTTTTAGGTCTTTGGGGGGGGGGGGACAGAACTGCTGTTTTATGGCTCTTATCGTGCTTGTACCTACAGCTTCCCAAGCCCCACCGACATGATTTTTCTTTCTAGAGGCTTTTACAACTCAAGTCTCCAAGAATCATCGGTACGGGGCTTCAAATGATGTTGCCTTGAACAGATGCTTGGGGCTTGTATAAGGCTTCAAAGAATGAAAGTAAAATGCTATGTTCACAGCAAGGTGAGAACCAGAGGAACCGGGATGATCTCTCCCCTATCTGGCCAGCGCCCCTTGTTGACGATCTGGTTCGCCCTGCGTTTCCTGCTGGACTGTGCACAAGAACAGCGTGCCCCCAGAGCGCTAATCGCTTTGTTTATTCTTCCATGTCGCCGGGGGAACCTGAGCTTGTTCAGCCTCAGGATAGAAACTCTGAAGGAGTGACAGGTGCACCTCAGATTCCCCTCGTTCACATATTTTATTTACCCAGTGAAGGGAGACAGAAAAGAGAGACAGAACTGGAAGGTGGCACAGATTCTGAGAGAATACCGCGGTCGCGCGTCCCTCCATCTGGTTTCGATCCACAGATCCAGTGAAAGTGCATAGGGACGAGACGAGCATCTTGCCGCAGCGTGAAACATCTTACTTGAGAGAGAAAACCCTTTTAAAAGTTAATACCGACTCACCTTGAGGATGGCTTACTTTTGTCTTTATAAAAACACGACAGCACTGTGTAAACTGCTGGGGTTGGATACTGACAGGTAAGTAGGTGCTGACTCAGAGTTTTCTGGGAGTGCAGATCTGAAACGGTCCCACTGAGGAGAGAGCCACGGGGACGTCGCAGACGTGTCCTTGGAGAGACACGAGGACACACAGGAAAAGGGGAATCTCTGACACCGCAGTCCGGGATCTCTGTCACACAGATGGGGAAACTGAGGCAGGGAGATAAAATCCCCCAAGGTCACACAGCTAGTCAGTCGTAGCATCTCGTTCCCTGGCCCGTGGACACTGCATAGATACCCCTAATGTTAATTTCTTCCCCAAGATTCTAAAGTTGGCAATTTTAGCTTTCCGAGTGCGGAGACAAAAAAAGAAAGAAAAAAACTGGAGAAAACAAACAAGCAAAAGATTTGTGGAGAACTCCAGTACGTTCGCATCTGATCTCAGTAACCTCATGTTAAGATGTCGTTAAAGGACTAACGTTTGGGTGACAATCACTAACGCGGGAGACGACAGAGTCACGATAACTGGGGGAGCTCCCGAGGGCGCCCGGGGGACACACGGAAGCACCCTTTCGGCAGCTTGGTGCAAGCAGACAGGTCGCCTCACCCCCACCTGAACCACCTGAACCACCTGCACGGAGCACAGGTGAGCTCAGCGCCCGGGCCGCCCGTGGCCGAGCCCCGGCGGGGGGCCAGTGAAGCCCAAGCCCCATCATCTCAAAGCCCGCCCCCGCCCCCTGTGAACACCAAGTGACCAGAGAGGGGAGCCCGGGGTGGGACGCCTTTCAGGTTGCCGCTACAGGCTGCACATTTTGAACCCTGGACAAAGTGACCGGAATCTTGGTTTCCCCCGGGCCCGGAGCTTTTGTGATGGGCTGGGCGTGGGCCTTGATGTCTGCAATTCGCTCTTTAAACTTCTGCTGGAGGAACTTTTCTTCTTGGGAGTAGCTCTTGGCGAACACCGACATCAGCAGGCACCCTGCCATGGACGTGCCCCCGAGGCAGAAGAGAACGGCCCCCGCCAGCTTGCACACGTCAAGAGCGCTGTTAAACTGGACGGCATGGGTGTCGACCACCACAAAATCGGCTTCCCCGAAGGCTTCGATCTTGGGGGGCACGAGAAAGCCCGCCGCCAGGACAGTCAGTCCAAGGATCACGAAGACCGTGCCGGAGATGAGTCCGACCTGGAGAAAGACACAGCCAAGCAGGACAGGGTGAGCTCGGTGCTTGGGCTCTCCTGAGCCCTCCCAGGGCAGGCCTCGTTGTTGGGGGGAAGTTAATATTCCATTCCCACTCACCCCAAATTTTAGGAGAAGGCTACATAACTTCCCAGTTATAAAAGAAGGTGAGGAGGGACCTTTCTGATTTTAATACCGACTGGAATCTGCAGCACTGCCCTGATTTTCCCTCTGAGCTGTTCGTACGATGCTTTGCAGCTGACAAGGCCACCTTTGGCTTCCGTGGTCTTCTTCGGTCTTTGTTTTTTTTTTTTTTTTTTTTTTTTTTAATATCTGGGTTAAAAAAATTCTTTTTAAGGTCTTATTTTTGAGAGAGAGACACACACACAGCATGTGAGCAGGGGAGGGGCAGAGAGAGAGGGAGACAGAATCTGAAGCATCCTCCAGGCTCTGTCTGAGCTGTCAGCACAGAGCCTGACGGGGGGCTTGAACCCATGAACTAGGAGATCATGACCTGAGCCGAAGTTGGGCACTTAACCGACTGAGCCGCCCAGGCACCCCTCTCCTTTGGTCTTTGAAGAAGACTAAAGCAGGCCTGACATCCAGGAACTAGCCTAACTCTATCCACTAGACCTTGATGCCGCGGGAAGCTGGCCGGGAGCTCCCAGTGATGCCACATTGTTCTCCTTTGACAGGATTTGTGTCACAGAACATCAACATCAGACAGGCTCCCTCTGTACCCATGACGAAGTGACACAAAACAAGTCTGTGTCATCATTTTGTCTAAGCGCAGACAAAAACAAGGTCATTGTGCAAACCACAAAATATCAAATGCCTTCCCTTCCCCCCATTCATATAAATGACGGCTGCTTCATTACCAAGTACAGCTTTAGTCCCACCCTGGTCTGCCCTCCCTATAGATAATACTTATTAATTATTTATTATCCAACCATAGAATCAGCCCTGACAATCCAGAGGGAACTCTGGCTCCTGTAGACCCCCTCCCCCCAAATCGCCCACCCAAGGCCCACATTCTATAATACATCCTTCCTCATCCTCTTACTGAAATACCCTAGGAGACCCTCTGGTATCACCTCTCTCACTGTGATGAGTGATAAACTCAACTCGTCCAACATACAGGTATCTTCCTGGTGATTTGGATGGAGGTCACTGGCGATCGTATAACTATTCACCCATTTCCCAAGTTAGTGGGAAGGAACCATGACTGCTAGTTTGCAGGTCAGGAGATGTAGCCTTGAGGAGGGTAGGTCACTGCTAGCAAGTGGATGGAGGGATGGATGGATGGATGGAGTGGGGGAGGGATGGAGGGAGGGAGGGATGACAGCTAGCAAGTTGCGGAGTCAGGGCTAGAAGCCACAGATGTGAGCTCCAGGCCAGTGTCCTTTCTCCTCTCACATGTAGTTATTTGGGCTCTCCCCTTGCAGATGTTGAGAAGCTCTAGGAGTAGCAGGTGGAAGATGAGACTGCGTCAGCTCAGGTTGGAATAGAATGGAACACACTGAAGAGGGAGAGTATTGTTTGCTGTTTGGTGGCTTGGAGGTTGGGAATGAACAGATCCAGGCTTGGGTTCCAGCACCGCCAACCGGTACTTGAGTCATATGAGGAAACTTACTTAAACACTCTCACCGTTAACCTCCCCATCTACAAAATGATAAAAGATAATCATACCTACTGCCTCGTGGAGTTCTAGCGAGGCCTAAGTGAGGCCATGCTCAAAGGCGCTTAGCCCAGTGCCTGGCTAAGCAGTAAGTAGCTATTATGGTATCTACTTGGAAATGCATTCTTGTGAAATGTTGGCCACAGAGCTACAACAATCTCTGGGCACTTGGACCCCAGAACAGCTAATATAGTTACTTATTTTTTAAACACATTTTCATTGTCTCCTATTCCTAGCCAAATGCATAACACCATTTAATCTAGAGCTTTGAATTTAAACTATATTTATTTAACTTATTTATTAAGTTTCAGGGTGATACATCAGTAATTCTTTATTACTTTGGATAATAGAAGGAAAACATATTCACAAATCTGTCGGAGAGCTAGCTAGTATTATTGGGCGTCTATGAAGACCTAGGCACAGTGTTTCATGTTTTTCACTTGATCATCGCCAGCATCTTACAAAAAGTAGGTATTTTTTTCCCACCTCACCTGTAAGACCCTGGGGTTTGTAGGGTCGAAGAAGTGGAGGTCAAAGTCCTATAGCTAGCAGGTGGTGTGACTGGGCTCGAACCCAGGTCCCCTGCTCCACTTCTATTCTCCCCACCATAGTTCACCAGTTACTATTTTGTACATTATCTGCTATTATTATTATTTTTAAAATTACAACAGAGTTTTAGTCACCATATAGGGACAGATTTCCACGATTGTAAAGAAACTGGAAGAGAGTCAATATAATGTCTTTTGAAAAAAAAAAAAACCCAGAAACTATTCTACATAAGATTTAAGCACTATAGGAAAAGTTGGGTTGTAAAATATAATATTTTGGATGGCTTTCTACATTTTTCTAAAAATGGAGGCAAATTCACCTCCAAAGACTAACCATTATTTATAACCTGAAAAATGAGTCACATTGGAAAATTCTGAATGCATAAACTAACTTAAATATCCATGGTGACATGCTTCATATGTCACTAAATCACCTTCCTCCTTGAGAACTGGCACTAATTCTCAAACACTCAGGACTCTGCAGGAATGTATCCATCTTGGGTTCTGGGGTTCTGAAGAGCACCTAAGGTCAGTGCTCAGGTCTTCTATTTCTGTCTTGATCACCGCATCTCGCGTTCCCGCCTTGAACTCTATAAATATTCCTAACTGACTGGCTTGAACCTCCAGGCTGCTGACTGCAGAGCCAGGTGACTGATTCTCAGAGCAGCGCTGCTCCCCAACTGAGCAGTGCTTTATCGATTAAAATCCAGTCCTGGAAGCTCACTCAGAAGCTACAAGGCGAGCCACGCTTTGCAGATGGCAGAGCTCTGATCACTTGCAGAACTGGAAAGTGGCTGGCCTCCTTGAGCCTTCTCCCTTTTCCCTGTTGAGTCAGATGTCAGAGAGGGGCCTGCCCTCCGTGGAGGGGGGCACGATGGTGGCCAACAGCCAACTCCCAGGATCTGGAAGGTGCCGTCCACGCAAGTCTAAGGGGGACCTTCAAGACATGTGGCCAGAGAGGACCCTCAACGCTGTGAAAACACGCCAGGAAGAGCCAGGGATGGTAGGACTGGAGGGGCAGCCATGGGATCTGAAGAACGCTGTGTCTTAACTGAGAGTCTGACAGCATGACAGGGGATGATGGGATGCATCGGAAGGAAGAAAGATTTGGGGAGTGATGCCGTACAGAGCCGTAAAAATGGTCCCGGGACACAGTTCCAAGTTGAGGTGGTCCTCGGTCTACAGGGAAGGGGGCTCTATTAAATAGAGTTTTAAAAATGCAGCACAGAGGTTCTTGGGGGCCTGGCTTTATGCAGAGAACTGGAACACCATGGGGTGAGGGGACCCTGGGACCTGGTGGGGCAGCCTGGTGCACCTGGTGGTTAGCTCAGCCCAGTGCCAAGAGAGAAGGGCCTCTCTCAGCTGTGAGAGACCTCACAGATGGCCACAAGGACAGGGACTCCTGGCTGTGGGGAGGTGGGGGGATGTGTGAAAATCCAGTGTCTGCAGCTGGAAAGGGGGAACGGACAGGGAGGAGGACCTGGATTCCAAAGAGCCTGCTGCTGGAGGCCACCAGCCAGAGCCTGCTGGAGCTCTGACCAACGTCCCCGTCACTGTGTGCAAGCCAATGAGGTCGGAGCACACCTCTGTTTACTCCTCAAAGCAGGCTGGCAGCCAGAGCGGCGGGCGCAGATGTTCGGGCAGAGAGGACGTGGTAATGACCACTGGAAGCCAGAGCTAGCAGGGCAGGAGGAATGGGGAGGAGCCGGACAGAGCTGAATGTGGAAAGAGCCAGCTGGCCTCCAGGTAGCGCTCAGGGGAAGTACAACAAGACAGAAGTCAACCCCGAGGGATGTCCTGGCCTGACCTGCTTGTGGGGACCCTGGGCTTTACAGAACAGCAACCCCTGCCTGGCTGTGGTCCAGGTCCTTCCTCACACTTTACCTGGCCACCCACGTGGTCTTCTACCCTATGGAGGCTCTGTCCCTCCAGCCCGTGAACACAGTCACTTGTTTCCATCTTCCAAAGCGATTCTGGATCCTTGAGTCTCCCTCTAGCTACTGCTTGAACTCTTCCAACCCTTGATATCCGAGCTCAGTCCCACAACTCCACTGAAACTGGTTTCTCCTAAGTCACTAATGACCTCCTCATTGTCAAAGCCAATTCGGTTTTTCTTTTCTTACTCCATTTAAATATTCTGTGGTCATTGATGTTAAGCACTGGGGTCTTCTTAAAACCTTCACCTATTTTCCCTGACACAACTGTCTCCTGTTTCTACATCTTTAACTACTCACTCTCAAACGGTTTTGCCAGATGTTTTTTTTTTTTATTTTTTTTTTCAACGTTTTTATTTATTTTTGGGACAGAGAGAGACAGAGCATAGCAGAGACGAGGAGGGTCAGAGAGAGGGAGACACTGGAGAATCAAACAGGGCTAGGTCGGACATGCCATTGCGCCCAGAGCCTGGCGCGGCTCAACTCCACGGACCCTGAGATGCATTGACCTGGCTGTCATTGCAACTGCACTGTGCGCCACCCAGGCACCCCTTGCCAGATGTTTTTAAATTGTTTGCTCCTACGTCCCTTGACCCACATCTCTTGTTCAAGATGATCTCTCTAGGGTCGAGTCTCTGGCTGTAGTTTCAACTCCTACTGATACACTGGTATGTCACCTCCAGTCTAGTCTGATTCCTTCACTGGGCACTAGCCCTGTATTTCTGACAGCCAATAGGAGGTCTGACACAAAAATGTCCCAACGGCTCCTCAGACCCAAAATATTCAAAATGGTGCCCCTTACTTTCTTTTCTTTCTTCCTTCCTCCCTCCTTCCCTCTGTTCCTTCCTTCCCACTCTCTCCGTGCTCCTGCCATCCACCCATTCCCTGAGTTTCTCTCATTTATTTTTTAAAAAATTATTTCTAGTGTTTATTTTGAGACCACACACACACACACACACACACACACAATGATCGGGGGAGGGGCAGAGACAGAGGGAGACCTAGAATCCGAAGCAGGCTCCAGGCTCCGAGCTGTCAGCACAGAGCCCGACACGGGGCTCGAACCCAGGAACAATGAGATCGTGACCTGAGCTGAAGTTGGACGCTTAACTGACTGAGCCACCTAGGAGCCCTGAGCTTCTCTCATTTCTAGTGTAAAACCAACTCCATAATATCTAGCAAAGCTTTGAAGAAAAAATCTAAGACGGAAGTTTCAACTCTGACTTAGCTCAGGGGGGAAACCGGAGTGATTGGGACAGATGGGAGGAGGGTCTTGAGAGAAAAGAGAGGGGCCAGAGTCACCCTCACGGCCAGTGAGGCTGCGGGGGTGGCAGTCTTACTTTGCACCTGCACGCTGAGTGGAGCACCCTTTGAGAGGTTTCTGACGTGGGCTGAGGAGAAGGTAAGGAGGGCAATGGCCCTGAGGTGAGCAACACATGATCGGGGGTGAGTGGACAGCTTCCATTCCTTTATACCTGCCTTACTGAGGTGCTTGGCGGCACAAGCAGGTGGCAGCAGCCTTAGTCAAGGTCAAGTGCAAGGGTAAGAAAGAAAAGTGCCACCACAGCCTGATGGATTTCTGGGCAGCACAGTGAGTGGTAGGGAGTAGGTGGGACCAGGTCACAGGGGCTTTTGCAGACGGCAGGTGTTGCAGGCACTGGGATAAATTGGTTGTGGCTGAGGCAACCATGTGGTGATCCAGAAAGCCTAGATTTATGAACTTGCCACCTTGCTGTACTCAAGCTGGAAGGTTCTGGAGAAATTTCTATTTTTTAATTTTTTATTTAGAGATTTCGATTTCAGAGCCTTTCAAAGTCGTCTGTGATCGGCCCCTAGTTACACATTCCCCTGTTCACCTCTCGACCCCTCTCCTCCAACTTCTGAATGTTTGCCCCGGGCGTACTGAGCTGTCTGTGGTTTCCTGATCGTGCCATCATCTCTCACGACACAGCTTTTGGAATAGATTTCTTCCTACCAGGATGCCCAGTTCCCACTTGTGTACGGGTGATCTCTCTGAGGAGCCATTTTCCAGGCTGCATCGGATCCTCCCTGGCCCCAAGTCCCTGTGCTCCGGGTAAGTACCGTGACTGCTTTTAGGGCCATGTTTATCACGTTGGATCATAACTGTCTGTGGACATGTCTACCTTCCTTATTTGTCTGTGGACTCCTTCAGGTCAAGGCGGTATCTAACTCACAAGTGAAGAGTAGGGTCTTATTCACAAATGAATCCCAGAGCCTACCACGTAACCTTATACATAGTGGACATATAAATATTCGTGGAAAAGGAAAGAAGGAAGGACAGAAGGAAGGAAGGAAGAAAGGAAGGAAGGAAGGAAGGAACAACCTAAGGAAGGAAGGAAAGAAGGAAAAGGAAGGAAGGAAGGAAAGAAGGAAGGAGCAAACGGAAGGAAGGAAGGAAGGAAGGAAGGAAGGAAGGAAGGAAGGAAAAGGAAGGAAGGAAGAGGAAGGAAGGGAGGGAGAGGGGAAGGAAGGAAAAGGAAGGAAGGGGAAGGGAGGGAGGGAGGAGGGAGGATAGCATTGTGAGATACAGGTTGTGTAGATCCACGTGACAGGGCAAAGATTCTAACTCGGGCCCATGTGACTCAATGTCCATGCTCATTAACCCCTCCATGCTGCTGCCTCCTAAGGAGCTGGCTTAGCGGCAGAGTCCCGCTGAGGCACCGTGGACTTAGCCCCTGGCAGGAGACCAACAAGATGTTAGCCCCACGTCATTGGGAACGGGGAAATGGGAAGCCCATAACTTGAACCACCTACAGATGCAGTTTGAAATGAAAGAAAAATACCATAAAAAAGAATCATAATGGGAACGGGCACAATCAGTGCTTTTCTCTGTATTGATACAAAGCACTTCATAAACCCGCTGGAATATATTCACTCGTATTCCCCAGGAGGAAACAGAAGACCAGTTTGTTTATTCCCTTGGTAGAGGTGAGTCTCTAAGACCGTGATTTCCATGTATTCTTAGGTGATTCAGGTTGACTACAAGCTTCTGAATGCCCAGTCTGGTGTTTTGTGATTAGGTTCTGGGTCTAGGATTTGGATTATGCTGAAATATCATCTGCACAAGTCCAGGAGGCCATGGACTTTTGCCTGTTTTTAGACTCTGAAGTAGGTCCAGCACAACAGGGAACAAATACTCGTGAATCTTGTTTGTGTAAACTAGAAGGGAGAAAGTCCTGAAATTCGAGTTCTGGGGTTGGTAACTTACTGCAGGTTCTTTATTTTAAATCCATACCTATATCTTGTCTGACAGATTTACAGCTTCTCCAATCACACCGCGAGTGCTTTGGAACCATGAGAACACTTTCAATATCCTGTATGACAGTGGCATTTTACGCTCTTGGCACAACAGATCTGTCAGGCAAATATTTGTTTTTTTGACACATAGGAAAGCAACCACCCACTTAACTGGGTAAATACAAGATGTGCCAAGCTTGGCTATGTATTTCATCTGTCCCCGCCAGTAAGGATTCATCAGAGATGACATTTCTACAGGGCAAGGATGCGGGCTCAACCAATTTGAATACAGACTACATGACAGTAGTGAGATGTTAAATTAACGCAGGTCTTGGGTAATCCGTATTAACAACTATGTTACCCAGTTCTTTATTTATTAACTAGATTTCAAATTTTATTTCCACTTCAGGACCCAGTGTGCCATATGACATCTGATAATAGTAGCTAATACATGAATGCTTGAGTGCATACCAGACATTGTGCTGAGCTCTTTGTAAGTATTATCTTAATTATGCCAATATATTGTAAGTGTCGGACAATATCAAGGTAAAACACTCTGGGATCTCCTGGGAGAAAGTTGAAGATGATCGGGATCCCCGAGCTGGAGGGGACCAGAAGCCCCTCCCTTACGGCTGCGCCTTCTCAGCATCACTTCCTAAATCCTTTCCCTTTTCTTGATTTCTAAGTGTTCAGACATCCCAATGCCCTCTTCTCCATGTCCATATTCTCTTCCTGGGTCATCTTGTCTAGTCTGGTGCCTCTTATAAGTTCTGTATGTCAGGGATTCCCAATCCGTGAGCTGCGTTTCAAGTGCCACCAGAGAGCCCCACTCACGTGTCTGATGTGATCCCCACAGGAAGCTCTGATGTATCATGGCCATGGTCAAACTCTTGGTTCCCCACCATACCCGCTGCTCTCCCTGTGTTCCTCATCCCGGAAAATTGTAACACCGTTCTCTAAATGGCTCAGGTTGTGTGCTTTGGAGTCATGCTTGACTCTTTCTACTTTCGTCTACTTCACCGCACGTCCTGATGGCTTGCTCTTCAAACTTCGTGCTAATTCGGACTACTTCTCCCCATCACTACTACCACCATCCAAGCCATCATCATCTCTTGACTGGATTCTTTCAGAGTGTCCCATATACCCTTGTCCTCCTATAACCTATTTTCCATACTGTAGTTACAATGATCCAGTTAAAATATCAGTCAGATCATGTCACTCCTCCACTTAAAATGCTCAGGTGGGCTTCCCATATCTCTCAAGGTAAAAGCCAAGGTTTTCATTATCATCCACAAGGCTCTAAATCATCTGTGTCCTATTATTTTTCTGGATCCTTTTCCCCCCTCTCAATCCACTCCAGCCAGACTGCACCTCTTTGTTACTTTTTAGACACCAAATCTGTTCCCATTTCAGAGCTTTGGACTTGATATTTTCCTGGCCCAGAAGGGCCTTCAGCCAGGTAATAGGTCTGTTCCCTGCACTCATGCTGTTATTTGCTCAAGTGCCGTCTCCTCCAAAGGGCTGTCTAGGATCAGCACACTAAGTTCCAGGCCTCCGTCACTCCCTGCCCTCTTGTCCCAGTTTATTTCTCTCCATAGCAGCTGTCACTACCTGACATTCTGTCATGTGGTTTATTTGTTTATGGTCCGTTCCCCACAATGGGTTGCAAAGGGCTTTCCTTTCTGTTCACCCCTTTAACCTCTAGCACCTTGCAACTTCTTGGCACGGAGCAGGTGCTCACCGATGACACGATGAGTGACCGAATGCACTGTCTGGTGGGGCACCTTCATTCAAAGAAGCTGGAGCTCACAGCCTCATGAGCACGGGTCTGGCAGAGGCAGGGCTGGCATACTGACCACTGTATTATGTCTCAGCATTAACTCTCTCGCAGCACCCAAGGATTCCTTTTTCATAATTGCTGTAAATTGTTAAATGATAATTACCAAGCCTATGCGGGGGGGCGGGGGGCTGGAAGTGTATAATGTTTTGCCTATGGAGGTCCTCACGGTTGATGAATTTAGCGGCACATGAATAAGAGTAGCAAAAATAGTTAACAATGATGACAGTGATACCTATTTATGTTTAACCTCTTTCCTTACCTTCCAGAATACTGAGCTCCACCTGTTAGGTGATCTCTGGATCTGGAAATCATCCTCATACTCCCAGATCGAGGTGGTACAGTCCTCATAAAACTGGTGCAGGTAGGACCGGACTCCGTAGCGCTGGTGCCCGCCCTCAGGAGCGGCCTGTGCTTGCTTGGTGCCACAGATGTTGCTGCAAGAACTCATCCTTCCCAGCTGGAATGACAACATCCACAGCCGTCAGCCCTATGAGCTCTGGCTTCAGGATTAAAAGGCATATTAAAGGTGCGAACCAGGCTGAGTAACGTTAGTCTACTTGAAAGTCTATTTGAGCTTTTCTTAAAAGCTGCTCTGCTTTTCTACTTAATGCAAAATTACCCCCAAACACTCAATGACTAGAAACTGGTTCTCCATAAATGAAATGAGACATAATAGCACAGCTCGCTTAAATTATGCAGAAACTTAAGCATGAAGCACACGAACGAAGGCAAGAAGCTGAGATTTTTCACTGTGTTGACAAGAAATCTTTAATCCCTTAGAATCCAGTCGTCTTTACACTCACATGTTAAAGAATTAGGCAGGTACTCTCCCTTGCTACAGATGGAATTTGTCTTGGGTTGTCCTCTCGGATGCTTAACCATGTTCCCTTGTGGAAAATACATAGTTTACTCTTAGCAGTTTGCAGTTTTGCTTTTAGATCTCACGGATCGTGTTCTAACATCTTAGCTAATGGTCAGGTTGTGCAGAAGCTGTGTTTGAAAGCTGCTGAGCAGCGACGCTTCATGCTTTATTAATCACAAATGGCTCAGCCAATAATTTACACCTCACTGACTCTAACACTAGATATTTAAGTCGTTATTTGTGGATACATCTGTCCATGTGGGATGATAGAGCATAATGGACAGGGTAGACCCAGCCTTTCACTGCGTTGCATGAAGTGGCTAGTATATGCGAGAAGCCAGGGGATTGTTAATGAAAGTACATACTGGGTGGGCTGTTTGGGTCTCTGTCTTCTTAAAGATGACAATTTCTGAGGTTCCAGTGTGGCTCAGCCGGCTGAGCATCTGACTTTGGCTTAGGTCATGATCTCACGATTTGTGAGTTCAAGCCCCACGTCAGGCTTTGTGCTGACAGCTCAGAGCCTGCTTTGGATTCTCTGTCTCCCTCTCTCTCTGCCCCTCCCTCACTCTCTCAAAAAGAAATATTAAAAAAAGATGGTAATTTCTACCTGATTTGACCTAGTCAATACCCTTGGAGAGAAGCATTTGGTTATTAATTCATGGGAAAAAAAAAAAAGGAATTGTTGAGAGACAGCAATTTTGGTGAGTGAGGGAATTCTCAGTAATTCTCTGTTTGATATTTGGTTTCCTTCTCTCCATATAGGCAGATAAATATGTAGCTGGAAATGTGAATTACTTGTTTAGATTTTCCAGTTATCCTCCAGATGGTTTCCCTGTGTGGACATAGTCTCAAAATAACAAAGTGAGGAACGATGTAGAAGGGGTCTCTCAGAGCCTGCCTTGTAATCCAGGCTAAGAGAAGACATATTAAATGTTTCTAATTACTTATCAAGAAACCACATAGTGATATGTATCTATCAACAAGGAAAAAATTAACCTAAAGTTCTGGCAAGTGCCCCTGTGTGGCCACTTAGTTTGGTTGGATAGAATTATGGGGCAAAAATCAAAGTTGAAGCTAGAGATAGTTAGCATTTTCCTGCCCCATGGCCACAAAGTGAATCCATAAGATTATCTTGTAAGGTGTGCTGTTAGCGAAAAACAGGTTCGGGTTAGAAAATGTAGTCAAATTCATGAAGAAAGTGGCCCCGATCTTAGAAAAATGATGCAGACATATGCTACTGATGGTGACCTCATATTTTTAAGTGTTGGTCACTATGTTTAGTGACTTTCTCCGTTTCAGATATGGCAGCCAGGAGAAATCACCCAGGAAGAGAGGGCAGGGGAGGAGATTAAAAAATTTCTTTTCTAACTTTTAAACATTTCAGAAGGATATTATTTCATAAAAAATAAAGATTTTAGAATGTACTTTGCCTGATTAGAGCAGCAAAGCCTTATGGATCTAATTCTTTTGTTAACCTAGTTTCCATATTTTAAATGTTAGGATGTTCTCTTCAGTAGTTTTAACTTGATGCTTACACAATGAAGATGATTAATAAGGGCCTATTACTAATGATACATAAGTAGGATAATTTTAAAGGCACTTTCTTTTAAGACATTGTAATAAAATTTCGGTCAAGGGATGAGATGGGAGCCATATGTTACTAATTCTGCTTGGTCATTGAAGAAACTGAGGCACAGGAAAGTCATCTGCTAAAGGCCACACACCATGAGTCAGGGAGGAGACGAAATGTGACATTACCGAAGGCTGGAGTATGGACTGAATCATGTACTTGCATCATCAGACCAACTCATCCAAATATGTATTTTCAGGTTTCCTACAAAGCCTCAGAGACTTTAACATGGAAAAAGGACAAAAATAGGACAGGAGCAAAAAGAAATCCCTCATAGCAATAGTAGGAGTTATTTTCCTTCGATGCTGAAGTCATTTATTCCCTCAGAGTTGAGCTTCGATGCAGAGCAGGGCTGTGACATATTGTAGTCCTTCCTGCACAGCTGTTTCCGATACACGAGGTCGAATGTTTCTGCTTTATAGGATAAGACTCAGTAATCCAACTTTGTTAAACAAAATATGGGTAAAATCATAAAAGAGACAGGAAGTGTCATAAAACAAATGTTCTTTGGGCTTGAGTGATGGAAGGCTCTACTCTAAGTCAGAATGGATTTTCAGTGATGTTAGATACATTCCAGGAAAGGAATCCCAATAAGCCTTATTTACTTCTCCAGACATACAGAGCACAAGAACATGGCCTATGCTGTGCTAACCACACAGGACACAGAATGGGTTCTAATCCTTGTTCTTGATCTACAATGTATTGGTCATGATATGGCAGGCAAACTCATTAACCTCCCTGGGCTACGGTTTTATCCCCCTTAAAATGAGATGGTTGAGCCAGATAACCTCTAATTCCTTTGAGATACTTTTCCAGGAGTCTTTGGTCATGCATTTACAGAATGAGTCAATTATTTTTGTGGGATAAACACCTGGGTCTACTGTTTTCCCACCTACTCCCATACTCTCACTGATGGATTGTCAGACTGTCCCCAATTCTTGACCATTATAGTACACGTGAAGCTTCAGTTTAAAAGAGCGTATAAGCTATTATTAGTAAGGCCAATGACTTGGTATTAAGTAGCCTAAATGGCTGTGTATTGTTTGTCTGTTTAACAGCTTACTTCAGTATTGCGTATGTTGCCTAAATGGTACAGGTGGATCGCAGGTATTACAGGTTAGGCTCCAGATGCCCAGAAGAAAGCAAACATCGTATAAAACAAGTCAAATGAAGGTTTTGGTTTCCCGGTGCATATAAATGTTATTTTTACATGATCCCATCGTCTATTAAGGGTGCAATAGCATTATGTCTAAAAACATGCACATACCTTAAGTGAAAAAAAAAACTTTATTGCTAAAAAATGCTAACCGTCCTCTGAACTTTCAGCGAGCCATAATCTTTTTGCTGGTGGAAGGTCTCAGCCTCAATGATGGTGGCTGCTGACTGATGAGGGTGGTGGTTGCTTAAACGTGGGGATGGCTGAGGCAATTTCTTAAAATCAGACAACAATGAAGTTTTCCACATCAATGGACTCTTTCTTTGAGTTGAACTCTAGTGACCTCTCCAGAGGTATTGATGGGCCTACTTTCAATATTGTTGTGTCTCAGGGAATAGGGGGGCCCAAAAAGAGGGAGACAGATGGAGGGACGGCTGTCAGTAGAAGAGTTAGAAGACACAGGACATTTATTGGTTAAGTTGCTGCCTTATATGGGGATACTTCCTGGCACCCCAAAACAGTTAGAATAGTAGCATCAAAGATCACTGATCGCAGATCACTGTAACAAATAGAGCGATAATGAAAAAGTTTGATTAAATCTGACAAGAATAACCAAAAATGTGACACAGAGACAGGGAGTGAACAAACGTGTTGGGAAAATGGCGCCGATAGACTTGTTTCTCCACAAACCTTCAATTTGTAAAAAAAACACATTCTCTGCGATGCACCTTTAAGCAAAGCGCGCATGAAATGAGGTGTGCCCATAAGTCCCTGGGGATCTTAGAGGTTCCATACATCTTTCCAAATATGTAACTTATTGGATTCATTCTTAGAGGAGAATGATCACGAGAAAGAACAAGAGTTTTAAAAGATATCATGTTACAGTGAGGATTTTAGTACAAAAACCTTACATTCCTCATAAGGAAGCCAGTAACTTTTTGTCCCAATAAAGAAAATGTTACACCTATTTGTTTATGTATGTAAAAAAATTTTTGTTTAAAAACATTTATTCATTTTTGAGAGGCAGAAACAGAGCACGAGCCTGGAAGGGGCAGAGAGAGAGAGGAAGACAACAGAATCTGAAGCAGGCTCCAGGCTCTGAGTTGTCAGCACAGAGCCTCAGAGCCCGATGCGGGGCTCGAACTCATGAACCGTGAGATCATGACCTGAGCTGAAGTCGGACACTTAACCGACTGAGCCACCCAGGTGCTCCTAATGCTACGGCTATTTAGAATCTACTTGGTTGACTGACACCTCTACTATCATATGGTGTCACTTCATAAAGTCACTTGAAAAGCTGGGTAATTAGTATGTAATAAACTTGGGCTGATAAGGAATGGAAGGTATGTACAAAGGCTTTTTAGCTTGGCTCAGCATGTACTTAGTGAGCAAGCTTTCATGAGAAATCTGGTGTTTGCAATCTGGATAGCTAGAGTAGCAGCTGCAAAAACAGTAATGTCATATCTGTGACTGTCGTTGAGTGACGGATTCTGGAGGGCTCTTTTCTTCAGAGAAAGCCTTAACATCCCAGGAGGTGTGTGAATGGGGGGCGTGGGTGGTGAGTGGAACTCTTCTCCAGGGTTGTACTTAAATGAGTCCATGTGAGTATTCCTTTTATAAACACCCCAGGGAGCCTGTTGTGTCCTGGATGCCAGCATGGCCATCATGATGGAGAACAGGCAGCCTTAGCATCTGGCTGTTTGGTCACCTATGAAGACAGAGTTATTTTCATTCTCCGGGAAGGACGTTCTAGGTGTTAATAGGTGAGGATCCATCCATGGTTTTCTTCTTCTTCTTCTTCTTCTTCTTCTTCTTCTTCTTCTC